CAGCACCAAGACATTTTGGACAATTCCGTGCTTCCAACTTCATGGGAACAGTTTGGGGAAGAACCTTTTCTGTTCCGGCATGACTGAACCCAGTGCACAAAGCAATGTCCATAAAGGCCTGGCTGGGTGAGTTTGGTGTGGAACAACTTGACTGGCCCTAACAGGCCCTTTCATCCAACATCAGTGTTTGACCTCACAAATGCTTTTCTGGATAAACGGGCGCAAATTCCCACAGACACTCCAAAATCTTGTAGAAAGCTTCCCAGAAGAGTGGAAGCTGTTAGAGTTACAAAGGGGGACCATAGGCATATTAATGCCTATGGATTTAGCATGGGATTCATAATAGCTCCTGTAGGTGTAATGTGTAGGTGTCACAATACTTTTGTCCAAATAGTGTATGTTTACCAAAGTTGTGCGAGAAAAAAACAATTCACAAGCTGAAGTATTAAAAGTGGTTAAAACAGTTTGTTGACATTATCTCCAAATAATTTTTCACAGCCTTGACACAACAAACACTCCTTTTTTCCAGATTGCACTCGATACACTAGAGATAATTTTGGGGTCACTGTTCTCTAAAGTATTTTCTTCTACCACTAAATACTGCAAATAAAGCATTTCTTCTATTTTTGACCAGATTCTATCAGATCTACTGGACGGAAGTTTGGCTGCTCAGTCTACAGACAAAACAGTCTTGCAAGTGCTACTACAAACTCACCCATGGCAACCACTGGTCTCCAGGTGCTGGGTCTGTTGCTGTCGCTTACGGGTTGGGCGGGCGGGGCCCTGGTGTGCGCCGCCCCCTGGTGGCGGGTGTCTGCATTCGTCGGGGATGAGCTGGTGGTGTCCGAGGTGCTGTGGGAGGGTCTTTGGATGACCTGCCTGTCACAGTGGGGGAAGGTCCAATACAAAGTCTACGATTCTGGCCTGGCTCTTTCAGGGTCTGCCCAACTGTGCCGCGGCCTGACCGTCCTGTCCCTCCTCCTTTGCCTGCTGGCCTTACCGTTGGCTGTGGCCGGCCTAAAGTGCACCCACTGCCTGGGCGACCAGCAGGAGCCCAAGGCCAGGCTGGTGCGAGCGGCTGCCGTACTCTTTGTCTTGGCTGCTGTGGTCTTCCTTCTTCCCATCACCTGGACTGCGTACGTGGTCATCAGAGACTTCTATGACCCCAACGTCGCGCCACCACTCAAACGTGAACTAGGCCCTGCGGATGGGTCATGGCAGTGTTGATGCTTGTGGGCGGGGCTGTGCTCTACATGGGCTCCACCTCTGTCAGTGCTCCACCTATTGTTTCCAGCTCTGGGAAGAATAATCCACAGCCTGTGACGACGGAGGACAAAACAGCCAAGGCTTACGTGTGAAGGAGGTTAGCATGAACTCCTGACATTGGACCATTAGGATTAAACTGATAGTTTAGCCAAAAAAGGCTCATTTACATAATTTCCCCTTTAATATAGTCGATCAGTCAAGACACGTTTGATGTCTGAGGTTTGCTTCTTTAGTTTTAGAACTGGAGCTAAAAGGTTAATGTAGCTAACAAGCAATGAAAGCTTGTAACCCACCAGTTAGCATCATGCAAACTGCAAACTTGCTTCAAACTGAGTAGAGTTAAGTACTTTCTAATAGACTTGCTTATGTAGTTTCAGACACTATGAAATATTGATAGCTATAAACATAGATTTAGGTATTTTAGCAGAGCTAAACACAGTACAAATCTTAAGCCACTTAATTTTCTGTACTTTTATCCATGTTTAAAGATAATATTTTGTCAGTCTACAGTTAGTCTACAGTTTTAAGCTTAAGGGGAAATTTGTGTATGTTTGATTTTTTAAAAACAGCTGTCACTTTAAAATGAAAAAAAAAAAGACCAAAAACAGTCTTTTAATGATTGTTAGGAGCATCAAATGTTTAGTTCTGGCTTTATTTATAGGGATCCAGGTCTAGGTTAATTAAACCTTTGGTTGTTTCAATATGTGATGTTTGGATTTAAAACACTTACCAATGAAAATGTGTTTCTATCTATTTACTTAAACTATTTATGTAAACTTCCACTGTACAGTTCAAATAATGTGTAATTAGTATTATTAGTGGGGAACCATGACTATTACAGCCCTCAGTTCAGGCCATAAACATCAGAACTTGGTCCAAAAACAGTTAGTTTCTGCTTGCACACCTATGGGATTTCTAATAGTAAATTAGCAATAGGCAAAAGCTGGTGTGCAAGAATGTTTTTTGGAACTTTCTAGATTAAAATGGATATTTAAAGCTTTTAAAAGACATTTAACAGACTGAAACTTGGTCTTCACAGTTAGTGATGTACCTAGAACTTTCAAAAGGCCTAGAACAGTGGTCACCAACCCTGGTGCAGGAGATCGAACTTCCTGTCGAGTCTAGTGCCAACCACAGCCTGTCACACCTACTCCAGCTAATTGACTCCGTCAGAAGTCCTTCATTGGCTGGATCAGAAGTATTAATGTTAAGTAAAGTGGGCACAACATGCAAGTTGGGACTCAACTCTATAGGAAAGTAGATCTCCATGAGGAGGGTCGGTGACCACCTGTTGTATACTGAAGAGTGAATGGTTGATTCCACCATCAGTTCCTAGTTAATCTAACATGTAAGGCCTCCAGCCCAGCTCGTATCTCCATTTTTGTCATTTCTCAGTTTTTGACATAATTTGAAAGAACATGTTGCCCTTGACATTGTGTGCAATTTCACAATGAATGGACCCAAGGAAATGGCCCAAAATTACTTGGACAAATATTCCATTGACTTACATTAAAAGTAAAGTATGTTTTCTCCTTCTCCTGTAAAGTTACCATTTTGGAGATACAAGATTTTGTTCAGACAGCAGCAATACAGACATATATATATATATATATATATATATATATATATATATATATATATATATATATATATATTCGCCTAACATGCGACTAATTTGCAAGTACAAATAAATAGTTGCCTTAAATCAGAATTATTTTGTACAAACTGTTAGCAGACATACAGACCTAAAAAAGACAGATATAGATAGATGTCTGAAGTGTTTCCTTCAGCTTCACTTTGGTTTAATAGCCACACAAATTCCACTAAACAGTGCCCTCTAGTGGATGTCAAAAGACACTGCTAGATAAACTTTCAGATAAAGGCTGTGGTCATAATAATGATAATTATTATTTTGTTCTTCAATTGCCCAATGTCTTCCCCTCTCTCTCTCTCTCTCTCTCTCTCTCTCTCTCTCTCTCTCTCTCTATCTCTCTCTCTCTCTCTCTCTCTCTCTCTCTCTCTCTCTCTCTGACCACAGCTGTTGCCTGTAAGAATGAAAGTTTATCTGACAGTGTCCTTTGACATCCACTAGAGGGCACTGTTTAGTGAAATTTGTGTGGCTATTAAACCAATGTGAAGCTGAAATAAACACTTCAGAAATTTCCCTTGCAGTCCTGGTTGTGATTTCAAGAAAATCAGTTTCCTGTTTTAAGGTGTCTGTTCTGAGATTAGGGACTAGTTTTAGCCAACTTTTAAGTAACAGTATAATCATACGCTACTGGTATTAATTTCCTCTTAAATGAGTGGTTTTCTTGTTCCTTCACCTTAATTTTTTCAGTTCGCTAAAATTTAGAATTAAATAAAAGTAAATTAAAAAGAATATTTCATTTACATCTGTGCTGTTGCAAGTTTGATCTCAAGTCATTTGATTTATAAACCAGCATTTTCTATTTACTTCAAACCTCTTCACACTAATCACAGCTTATTTCTAGCCTGGAAATTGTATTTGCCCAGTAAAATAATTTTGTTGCATGCTCAAATACAGTGTTGATTTCTTGTATTTTAGCTCACCTTTTTAGCAGGACATCACTCGGCCATTTCACTCATTCAGCTGTATTTTTAACACCATATTTAATAAATGTAATGGATCATAGTTCATACATAAATGCAAAACTAGTGTTCTACTTTTATTACATTGAATATTTTTCATTACAGGACAGTAAACTGAACAATAAACACAGTAACAATCATTAAAATCGATGGAAATGTATGTATGTGAAAAGAAGTAACACTTTATTTTTGTGACTTTACATTCAGTTTCTCTGAATTAACAACAGCAAAGCTAAAATACAGAATGTGTGGTTTATTTATGTTTTTTTCAAAAATGCTATTAATCAATGTGATATGATTAGGTAACAAGGTAACCTAATCACATCCCATTGATTAATACCATTCTGTAATTACACTGTACCTTTATGACAACTACACAGGAACTTTCCTGTAGTGAGGTGTTAAAGTTACACTTTAAGTGGACAGTTCCTGTGTAATTGATATGTAGGTACTGTGTAATAATGGAGTGGTAATATAGACATTGCTTTGGAGGTCATGCAATACATTTAATTAATGTTATAAAGCTACGTGTTAATATAAGGGGGCAACTGGTTACAGTGTCACAGCACTAGCAACATAAATGCTAGCTAAATGTTAGGAAAGCCTGCAGATACAGTGTAAGTAATGTCTTCATGTAAGTTATTACATACTTCCTTTTACTGCTGGGGAAAAAAAACAACAACAACAAAAAAAACTTCGGAAAAAGCTGTTGTTGCAGTCTGATTACAAGTGTAATTACATTTGTGTTATTACCCTTATGTATTTACATGAGAGAGAATAGGCTATTACAGCTATTAAGATACACTTGTGTAATTGCATGAGGCAAAATATAAGTTGATGCACAAGTGTAATTACAAAAAGTGCACTTCTGTAATCCATCTGTAACAGTGACTAAATCAGTAGTAGTTACATTGCTTTTGCATACATTGTTCATATGTAACTACACAGTTATTAGAGGCACTTAAAATAAAGTGGGACCAAGGTGTTTTTTTTTACAGCATATGCAATGGAAAGAATGGGAAGAAAATTGACTCAAAGACTATACATTAAATGTAGTGTAGAATGTTTTTTTTTATTTTTTTTATTCAACATATTGTCTTTAACTTGTTAAACAACAACAAAAAGAAGTTTTGGTGTATGTTTTATTAAAAAGTGTTACTTTTTAATTACTGCATCCACTGCTTGCTGAGCTCCTGCCACAACTGTCCCTGGAGTCTGCAAAATGCCTGTTACCCCAGCTGTGACTGCTCTGTTCACCTGGGCAACTCCATCTTCTGCAACTCCTTTAGCGGTGGCTACTGAGGTGTCCGCCACAGCTTTCACAGCCCCAGCAGTGCCCTCAACAACTCCTACTGCAGCATCACTGATCCCCTTGAAGAAATTCATGTTTGCTGTGGAGACACATATTTGGCACAACATTGATACTGAAACCTACTCGTGTTTGTAGATGAGAGCTATACGTCCCCTGCATCCAGTATTGCATACTAGCATCCTAAATTCCCTTTGTCTGGTATCCAAAGTGTTGCATTACCCAGTGGGCTTTAGGAACATGGAATAACTGTAAAAACAAGTGGGCAATTCTATTTTTTCTTTTGTTTTTCACTGCATTGCAGGGGTTAAAATGGGGTTGGATCCCATCAGTATATCGCTGTTGTCGGAAGTAAACCTGGCATTTTTGGCATTTTTCAGTTTTTGACATAATTTGGAAATACTTGCTCCCCTTTATATTGTGCGTAAATTTCACGATGAATGGACTAAAAGAAATGGACCAAGATGACTTGGAAAAAACGTTGGTTCCATTGACTTACATTAAAAGTAAAGTAGGTTTTTTCCTTCTTCTGTAAAGTTACCATTTTGGTTTTCTTCGGACAACAACGAAATGCAAAGAACAAGCAGAACTGGAAATCAATTTAATGCAGAATTAATGTTTTCAATTCTTACTGATGTTTCATGCTGTTTCAACTCACTGCATGCATTATGTTTGTTAGAGTGAGTTTGACTCCAGGCTGTTTATGATTTTGTGTGATATTGAGGTCACTGTAACATGCAACTTTATAATCTTCAAAACACTTCTCTATGCTTTAGGGCCCTAACCTAACATAATCATCATGCTTGTAGAAGTGTGAGAAACACTGATGGTTCACGCAACAGAGTGGAGGGAAAAAACATAATTCCCAATTTGTGGAAGTTTAAATTGCTCAAGTTAAATTAACCTCAAGGATAAAAATTTGAAGAGGGTTAACATATAAAAGGTAACAGATAAGAGGTCTGACCACCCTGTTGTAGGTGAGACAGAAAGACAGAGAATATTAAAAGAGAAAATACATTGTAAACTAGAATTAAGTATAATGTTCTTTCTTACCGTTGCTGGCTTTGATTGCCCAAAGTCTAATTCAACTTGTGTGTCCAAGCAGTTATTTTGTCCACGCTCGAGATCTATAAACCAAACAAAAAAGAACACATTACATTTACATGATTCTAAAATAAGTCACCAAACTTTCAGTATTCATCTGTATTTTAGTGAAAGATTCAAACTTGGTCTAATAGCTTATTCAAAAGAAATACTTACTTGTAGCAGTTGATGTATGAGAAGTCAAAACTGGTGGGCTCTCAGAGCACTAGTGCATCTCATGAGCAAGAAGTGGGTAACATTTATATACAGGGAGGGTGTAGAAGAGACAGAGTTTAAGCAAAAGTGAAACTGTTTTCATTCAGATTAAGCCCCCCCACCCAAAAAGATCTTATCACCACATCCTGTTACAGTTCACTCAGATAACGGTGTTTATAGTAAAGGTTTAATATAGCCTGTTGTTTAGATAGTGGTTTGAGATCGGTTTAGTCAAGTGACTGCATTCACTGTAATAAGGCTCATTTATTGAGAGGAATGAAGAGCCAAAAGGGGAACCCATCCTCCGGTTGACATTGGATAGCAAAAACGAATGTAACAAAAGCGGTAAAACCTTACTTGAAGGGTGTCTACATAACACGTTCATAGCATCTTACGTAAACACTTAATTACATGTTCATGATTGTTTAAATCCACATTTTTAAGACATGTATGTTTTACATTATATTAATATGGACTACTATGTAATTTTACTAAGATACATTGTTTTCAAAATAAAAGTCCACGTTTTTATTTAAAAAAATAAATAAATAAATAAAATAAATAAATAAATAAATAAAAAACAAACAAAACTACAATATTTTAAATAGAACACCTCATTTCTGGACAGCCAAAATAAAAATGACCTCACTTTACCCCATTTGGCCATTCAGTGCTTTGACATGTCACTTTGGTATGTTTTGTCTATACTTTCAGCTTCTTTTCAATTATTTGTTTCTCAAGCATTTGTTGATGGAATTTTACAGGCCCATGATATTCATCCATTCCCTGTAGATGCTGGATAGCCACATGGATGTAAATAGACTACTTCCCATTGCAATTTTGAGATTCCACATAACACGCATTTCAGTCAGGTTAACATGGCTTAAAATCACTTTTCAGTTAAAGGCAAAACAGAATTTATGAATCACTGGGATAACAGTGCAGAAGAAGCTGAAATTAGAGGTCATTTTCTATGTTGGCTGTCCAGAAATGAGGCATTTTACTGTAAATAATCTAGTTTTTTCAAATTTAGAAATGAGGACTTTCATTCTGAAAAATATCTCCTGGTAAAACATTATAGTAGTCCATAACAATATAATATAAAACATGTAGTCTTTATAAATGTGGATTTAAACATTCATTAACATGTTCTGAAGTGTTTATGTATGTGTTATGAATGTGTTATATAGACACCCTTCAAGGAAAGTGTTACTGCAAAAGCAATAAGAAGAAAAAAGTAAAAAAAAAAATGACTAATAGATCTAAAATGGTGAACTACTACTGAGGAATAGGAAAGAAAGGTCCCTGTCATTGGACAGATGTGTGGACATCATCTAGTAAAAATCAATGACTACTGTTAGAGGCCTATAATTCCAACACGTTAGTACAGGTATAGGGTGAGGCAAGTGACCAATGCCTAGGATTAAATAGTTCTATTTGGAGTTCGTGCAGATTTCAGGAGGGTGAGTGGGGACATACAGCTAAGACGCTTTCCTGTTCCAGCTTGACTGAGCCCCAGTGCACAAAGCGAGCTCTATAAAGACATGGCTTAATGAGTTTGCTGTGGAGGAACTACAATGGCCTGCACAGAGCCCTGACCTCAACCCCGCTGGTCAAATTTGGGATGAACTGGAATGGCGATTGTTAGCCAGGTCTTGGCATCCAACATCAGTGCCTGACCTCACAAATGATCTTTTGTCTGAATGGGCACAAATTCCCACAGACACTTTTAACTTGGTCTAATATAGTTTATTCACAAGAAAATAGCTGACTTGTAAGTTGTCAGAGCACTTAATGCATCTCATTAGAAAGCAGAGACAAGCTGTTATCTGCATGGGAGACTTTAAAAGAGTAAGAGGCTATTCATTTATTTTTGGGGGGGGGGAACCAGCTGCTGATCTGATGACCTATTTTAAAGCAAATATTAAACTTTCATCTGTCAGACTGAAAGTCTAAAAATACACAGTTGAGGATTAACATGGCCTGTTGATTGGATAGTGTATTATTCAATTGTTGACTGATATTTTTATCACTTAATAAATCCCTATATTAATCTTTATACATGCTTACTAGTGTGTATGGGTGTGCAACACACTGTGTTTACTATTTATTTATGGTTCCTTTATGTTTTACACTGAACCTTTCCAACTGACCATAAATAGAAGAACCAGCTTTTTCAATACACTATATGGCCAATGTGGACACATATCCTAATTATGGATATCAGGGCTGCATTCAGCAAGACAAAACGTAGCAAAATGTTTATTTAAATGGAAATGGTGGTGCATTGAACACTCTGTGGCCAACATAAGTGTTGCAAGTATGGTAACTGAGAAGGCCATTCTTGGAATTTGTTTCAAAAAATGTTCAGAGCTTAATTTAAAAAAATGAACAATACTTACAACAAATATATCTTCTAACATCATTAATTGTTGTGTACATTAAGCTGCAGTGGCCACGTTTGTAAAGGACTTGATTAGAATCCATTGTGTGCACTGTCTTTCTAATACAGCAGGGTTTATATACACAATGCTGCTGATTGGGTGACACCTCTGACACATTCATCAATGAGGGAAAACTTCTCTCAGTGCCTGTTGGACACCGTTTCGCACCATTTTGATGACTTGTCATTGAAACCTAGAAACCATAGCGAATGGTGCGCAACAATTTGAGACTGAAAGAGTTTCAACCACACCTACTGCTAGCAGGTGTATGAAATCAAGCACAGTCATGCAACCTTCATAGGCAAACACTGGCAGTAGAATGGATCGCTCTGAAGAGCTCAGTGTATTTAAATGTCATACGATGCTACTTTTGGCAAACGCACCATAAAACTATTGATAGTCAACTGCTGTTTCACCAGAGAGTTAATAGTTGAAGAATCCATAGATAATCTGTAAGGCACTCTCAGTAAGTATCTCAAGCAGTTTTTGGTTTGGTTCATGGGTTTCAATAGCTTCACTTCATTTGGTGATCTGCAACACAAATGGCCTCATATACAGCCATGCACTCCTTCGAAATAAAAGGGAAATAGCTTTGAAAACAGTGGTTGGTATAGTGTAGTGGGTAAAGCCTCTGCCTTCTATGCTGTACACTGGGGTTCAGTCACCCCCCTGGACAAACACCCTACACTATACCAGTAAGAGTCCTTGGGCAAGACTCCTAACACTACCTTTGCCTACCTGTGTAAAATGAATCAATCAAAATCTGTGAATCAAATTGTAAGTTGCTCTGGATAAGAGCAAAATAAGAGCAAAATGCTGTAAATGAAATGTTGTTTTTAAGGAATTTAACAGGAACATTTTTAATAAAAAACATAAGCACATATGTGGCTACATAAGCTGCACTTTAATTATCCATTTGTAACAGTGAACACATCACTGCTAGTTACACTGTTAATGCATGTTTTGTTAATGTGTAATAACACAGTTATTAGAGACACTAATGTAATTTGGGAACAAAAAGTTTGTTGGGTTTTTCCCTTTTGGTTTGAAATCTGACTTGTGGAATTTATACATGTAGCTGCAAAATGTAACTATATATTATGAAATATGTTGCTACTCAACAGTTAAAAATAAGGTAATAGTAGTTACATTGTTCTTTACACTATATAAATGATAAGAATCAATGTTTTTTTTTTATATACTCATTAAAGTGAAACACATGACTTGAGCCTTTTTTATTCCAACAGAAAGTTTGTTTATTTGATATAATGTGTGACAAAATATTCAATAATGGAAAGAGTCAGTTTGTAAGTAGTAATTGGCTTCAGGAGATTTAATAAGGACAATCATGGACACCTAAACACATACAAGTTGGAAAATGCTTACTTCAGTCCAATTACTGCTTAATATAGTTGCAATGAGTAGCTAATTAATTAGCAATTGCTAGCTTGATAAAGCTTAATAAGAACTAAAGTGCTAAAAATGTTTCATTTACCTTGTTTACTGCTTAATAATGCAGTAATATGCTGCCTGATTACCAACTAGTGGCTTGATATGGCTATAATGCCATAAGAATGCCATCTAGAATGCTGTAGAAAAAAATATAATGTGTAATAAACAAATGATGGTGCTATGGAAATTTACCCTAGTTGTTGTATAATAAGCAACCAGTTAATGATCAACTACTGCCTTGTTAAGGTTTAACAAGAGCATTAAAAGTGATCTGGAAAATGCTTATTTCACCCTCATTGCTGCTTAATAATGTAGTAATAAGCAGCCAACTAATTACCAACTACTAGCTTATTAAAGCTTACTAAACACATTACAAGTGCACTAAAGAATGTTTAATTCACTGTTGTTATTACTTAATAAAGCAGTAATAAGCAACAAGTCAATTATCAACTACTGCCTTGTTAAGGTGTAATAATTAAAAAAAAAAGTGCTCTGGAGACTATTTAATTAACTCTTGTCATTGCTTAATAAAGTAGTAATAAGCAGCCAATTAATTATCAATTACTGCCTTGTTAAGGTTTGAAAATAAAAAAAAAGACAGTGTTCTGTTGACTGGTTATTTAACTCTTGTTATTGCTTAATAATGTAGTAATAAGCAGCCAGTTACTTAACGACTACTGGCCTGTTAAGGCCTAACAAAAGCATTAAATGTCCTTGTGTAAAATGCTTGATTCACTCTAGTACCTGTGTAATAATGTAGTAATGGGCAGTCAGTTACTTAATAGCAATTAGCCAAATGAGTTACCAGCTATTGGCTTCATAAGACTTAATAAGGGCACAATAATGAACACCTAGAATGTTCTTCTAAAGATTATAATGTACTGTTAAGATTTAATATGCGCATTCCAATGGCATTGTGATGTATAATGTCCCCTGACCGAACTTTACTTGAACCCTGCTAAATAATCTGTCATGGCTGATGTCATAGCGCTGTTGTTGGAACAAAACCTCCAAATCTCCAAAATGGTAACTTTACAGGAGAACGAAAAAACTTACATTACTTTTAATGTAAGTCAGTGGAACCAGAGTTTTTTCCAAGTCATTTTGGGCCGTTTCTTTTAGTCCATTCATCATGAGATTTATACTCAATGTAAAGGCCAATGGGTATTTTCAAAATATGGCAAAAACTGAAAAACAATAAGATGAAGACACAAGGTTTTGTTCCGGCAGCAGCGATACGCTCGCATGAGTTGTCATGACAGCTTATGTTCAGTAATATAACAGTGTTGTGCTACATTACTGTTAATCTTCATGCTAAATCTAAAACTGTTCTCTACTTAGTTGTCATTAAATCAAAGATTATGGAATCTTGACAGTTGCTGGTGATGGTGGCATAACACTCTTATATTACTGAACAAAATGTAATAAAGTGAGTGAAGTGTTACAGATTCTTGGATGAAATTTCTATAGTGTAATTCTTTTTTGTGTGTACGTGGTATGCATGTATGTGTGTGTGTGTGTGTGTTTGTGTGTGCATGTGTCTGTGTGTGTGTGTTATGCATGTCTGTGTGTGTTTGTACACATGTGTGTGAGATGTTATCACTCAGCGCAGTGCTGCTTCACTCCTACGTGTATGAACAATGAGGCTGTTTCTGCTAAAGCAAATGAAGCACACAGACACTCTTCAGACAGACAGACAGACAGAGCCTCATCTCCGTCCTCACTGTCCCAACACAGAGTCCATTCACCCGCCAGCACTGCCAAACATCAGCCGTGACTGCAGAGAACAGACACTTCTGACAGGTAATGCTGCTCTGTGTATCACTGTAACGTGTTTATGTTCTCTCTGTAGTGCCTGTGATTCATTCTGTCATTGGAGTTTCCAATGGGGAATGGATATAGATCTGAAATTCAAATGTAAAACATAGTCTGTTGTACTGAACAACATCACAGTGCTGACTGTAACAACACTGACAGAATTACTACTGAGTACTGGATTGATAATGATTAATAAGATTATTAAAAGTACCTTTGAAAATGTTTAACTTACAGTAGTTACCCAAGTGTAATACGAATGCTCTTCTGGATGAATGGACAAAAATTCCCACAGAGACTCTCCAAAATCTTGTAGAAAGCTTCCCAGAAGAGTGGAAGCTGTTACAGCTGCAAATATTAATGCCTATGGATTTAGAATGGGATTCCTAAAATCTCCTGCAGGTGTGATGTGTAGGTGTCCCAATACTTTTGTCCATGTAGTGTATGTTTACCAAAGTTGTGCAAGAAGAAACATTTCACAAGCGGACGTATTTATAGAAACCAGTTTGTTGACATTATCCATATCATTGTTCACTGAATTGGCCAGACATTAGCTTGCTAGCATTGCGTCATTGCTTTCTAATAGTGCTGTTAATCTCATTGCTATTGTTTTTGTAGCTGTGACACTGTGGATAAATATCTTCTGTCTACAGACTTGGTGTGATCTTCTCTAAAGACGTGGAAACATCTCACAGCTGCATCTACAAATATGTTTTAAGGTTTTCTGTCAAAATGAGATTAGCATGCTAGCATTGTGTTATTGTTCCATAACAGCTGTTACTCTCCAAATATTTTTTCACAACCTTGACACAACAAACACTCCTTTTGTCCAGATTGTACTAGATACACTAGAGATAATTACACCCTTCACTGGAACTAAGGGTTCTAGGCCAACCCCTGAAAAATTAACCCCATAGCATCATCCCTCCTCCACCAAACCGGCACAATGCAGTTAGGCAGGTAACATTCTCCTGGCAGTCGTATTTGCTGGTCATGATCTTTGGGCCCTCAGACAGCACCGCATTAAAAACGGACATGATTCTGTAGTGGAAATCACTGCATGGGCTCAGAAACATTTCTGAAAACCACTGTCTTTGAACACAGTTCATAAGTGCGTCCACAAGTGCAAGTTAAAACTTTAAAATGCAAAGAAGAAACCAAATATAAACAGGATCCAGAAATGCTGCCACCTTCTCTGGGCCTGAGCTCATTTAAAATGAACTGAGGGGAAGTAGAAAAGTGTCCCATGGTCTGCTGAATTAACACTTGAATTTCTTTTTGGAAATCATGGACACTGTGTCCTCTGAGCAAAAGACTCAGCTTGTTATCAGGGTACAGTTCAAAAGTCAGCATCTGTGATGGTATGGGGTGAATTAGTGCGCATGGCATGGGTGACAGGCACATCTGTGAAGGCACCATTAATGCTTAGTGATATATACATATTTTGGCAACACGTGCTGCCATCCAGACAACGTCTTTTTTAGGGAAGGCTTTGCTTATTTTAGCAAGACAATTTCAAACCACATTCTGCATGTATTACAGCAGCATTGCTCTGTTTTAAAAGAGTCCGGGCACTAAACTGACCTGCCTGCAGTCCAGATCTATCACCCACTGATAACATTTAACGAATTATTAAATAAAACATATGACAAAGGAGACCCCAAACTGTTGAGCAGCTGAAATTCTGTATCAAATAACTATGGGAAAACATTTCACCTTCAAAACTACAGCAGTGTCTCCTCAGTTCCCAAACGCTTACAGAGTGCTGTTAAAAGAGGGGGTAATGAAACACAGTGGTAAACATGCCTCCATCCCAACTTTTTTGGAATGTGCTGTTGGCATAAAATTCAAAATGGGCATATATTTTTTCAAAAAAACAGTTTCAACATTTGTTATGTTGTCTTCATAATATTTTCCTTTAAAATTATAGTTTATATGATTTGCATTTCATTGCATTCTATTTTTATTTACATTCTGGAAATGGGGTTGTATTTTCTTCTACCACTCTCATACTGCAAATAAAGCATTTCTTCTATTTTTATCTAGATTCCATCAGATACTGGAGAGAAGTTTGGCCTCTCTGTCTACAGACAAAAACAACTTGCTACTACAAACCCACCCATGGCAACCACTGGTCTCCAGGTGCTGGGTCTGTTGCTGTCACTTATGGGTTGGGCAGGCGGGGCCCTGGTGTGCGCCGCCCCCTGGTGGCGGGTGTCTGCATTCGTCGGGGATGAGCTGGTGGTGTCCGAGGTGCTGTGGGAAGGTCTTTGGATGACCTGCCTGTCACAGTGGGGCAAGGTCCAGTGTAAAGTCTACGACTCTGGCCTGGCTCTTTCAGGCTCTGCCCAACTGTGCCGCGGCCTGACCGTCCTGTCCCTCCTCCTTTGCCTGCTGGCCTTACCGTTGGCTGTGGCCGGCCTAAAGTGCACCCACTGCCTGGGCGACCAGCAGGAGCCCAAGGCCAGGCTGGTGCGAGCGGCTGCCGTACTCTTTGTCTTTGCTGCTGTGGTCTTCCTTCTTCCCATCACCTGGACTGCATACGTGGTCATCAGAGACTTCTATGACCCTAATGTCGCGGCACCACTCAAACGTGAACTAGGCCCTGCAATCTATCTCGGATGGGTCATGGCAGTGTTGATGCTTGTGGGCGGGGCTGTGCTCTACATGGGCTCCACCTCTGTCAGTGCTCCACCCGTTGTTTCCAGCTCTGGGAAGAATAATCCACAGCCTGTGACGACGGAGGACAAAACAGCCAAGGCTTATGTGTGAAGGAGTTTAGCGTGAACTCCTGACATTGGACCATTAGGATTAAACTGATAGTTTAGCCAAAAAAGGCTCATTTACATAATTTCCCCTTTAATATAATCGATCAGTCAAGACACGTTTGATGTCTGAGGTTTGCTTCTTTAGTTTTAGAGCCGGAGCTACAAGGCTAATGTAGCTAACAAGCAATGAAAGCTTATAACCCACGAATTAGCGTCATGCAAACTCCATACTTGCTTCAAACTGAGTAGAGTTAAGTACTTTCTAATAGACTTGCTTATGTGGTTTCGGAAACTATGACACACTGTTATCTCTAAACCTGGATTAAGGTACATTAGCAGAGCTAAACACAGTACAAATCTTAAGTCACTTAATCTTCTGTACTTTTATCCATGTTTAAAGATAACAGTTTGTCAAAGTTTTCAGGGTAAAGGGAAATTTGTGTAAGTTTGATTTTTTAAAACAACTATCACTTTAAAATGGAAAAAAAGACCAAAAACAGTCTTTTAATGATTGTTAGGAGCCTCAAATGTTTAGTTATGACTTTATTTACAGGGATCCAGGTCTAGGTTAATTAAACCTTTGGTTGTTTCAATATGTGAGATTTGGATTTAAAACCACTTACCAATGAAAATGTGTTTCAGTCTATTTGCTCAAACTACTTATCTATGTAAAATTCTACCGTATAGTACAAACAATGTGTATTTAGTGTTATTAGTGGGGAACCATGACTATTACAGCCCTCATTTCAGGCCATAAACATCAAAACTTTGTCAAAAAACAGTTAGTTTCTGCTTGCACACCTATGGGATTTCTAATAGTATATTAGCAATAGGCAAAAGCTGAGGGTTTCCCCATAGATTGGTATATAGTGTCTGGATCTGCTGATTGTTACATATGGTTGTATGCAAAAGTATGGCCACCCCTGATCTCTGATCAAATGACATGTTGTTGTTGATTTTGTAAGTGAAAATAAGTCTAATATAAGCCTTATTTAAACTTTTTCAGTTTTTGACAGAATTTGAAAATGCCTCTTGGCCTTTACATTGTGTGCAAATTTCACAATGAATGCAGCAAAGGAAACAGCCCAAAATACTTGGACAAACATTCTGGTTCCATCGACTTACTTTAAAAGTAAAGTAGGTTTTTTCCTTCTCCTGTAAAGTTACAATTTTGGAGATACAAGGTTTTGTTCAGACAGCAGTGATGAGCCTTAAGTTGTTGTGTGCATTTATGCATTTTCCTCTACTATATATATGGTGTTTTTCTGTATGTAATAAACATGTATCTTCATAGACTCAGCACTTATTTATTTCATGTTGTGGACTGTTTTAAATATGCGGTCATTGTCAAATGTTTATTTATGAGACATACGACACATTTTCAGCATTCTGTGCATTTACAAACTGCCAGAAAAAAACCTTGGTCACTTTGTGGGTTGAGCACACATGGCACGTGTGTGTGTTTATGTATATAAGAGTGTGTGTGGGGGGTGCAGCAGTCTGGACACAATACACAATACACACCACACAGTGCAGGGACAATACAGTGAGTGTGCAGTGGGCTTTATAAAGCAGTGATGTCAGAATTATGGAAAAGAATGTAAATTATGGCTCATACACTCTGACCCTCTTCATAACATGCCCACGAACACGGTCACCATGGATATGCAGGGTGAGGGCAGGTTTAACAGTGACCTTCATTTAGACCGATTACAAAACTCTGCCAGCTGTTGTTTGTTTTTACCAACTTTATTTTTGACAGAAAGCAAAATGCAATAGAACTTACAGTGTGGTTAATTCAACATTGCAGTACTGCATTTGTCCACATGGTGGCAGCAGGAACTGCATATAAAATTCAGAAGACGCGTGTAGGATCACTGGTGGTTTTGGACAGTAAATAAAATGTGTATGTTTGTGTTGTAGTCATGGTGACCCCTGGTTCCTATCACCACCACTGTAAAGAAATCTAAACCATTTCACACCAAACCGCTCTGAACCACTCTGTTTACAACTCAACCACCTTTAATCTCTCAAAGTATCAGCTTGTAATTTTTTTGGATAATTTTATAGCATATTTTTTAGTATCTACTATGTATTTTTTAGTAACTGGTATAAATTACATTTACATTTACAGCATTTAGCAGACGCTCTTATCAGAGTGACTTACAAAAAGTGCTTTGTCTATCCAGAGTATCTTTGCTAGTTACCAATAGGTTAGAGAGAAAGCCAGTCCTGAGCTCAGATACTGCTAGAATCAGAAAGTCATTGACACCTAGAGAAAAATATCTACTAAAAATATTCAGAAAATACTGTGAATTATTGAGTTACTACTATAAACTATACCATAATTGCTGTAGATTATACAATATCAACTTTAAACTATGAACACACAGATATAAATTATTCAGTAAGCACTAAAAATTATTCAGCATGTATTATTCAGTAACTATTATAAATTATTCAGTAACTAGTATAAATTATTCAGTATAAATTATTCAGTAGCTACTATAAATTAATCAATAACTACTAAAATTATTCAGTATAAATTATTCAGTAACTACTATAAATTATTCAGTATAAAATATTCAATAACTACTAAAATTATTCAATATAAATTATTCAGTATAAATTATTCAATAACTACTAAAATTATTCAGTATAAATTATTCAGTAACTACTATAAATTATGCAGTATAAATTATTCAATAACTACTAAATTTATTTCATATAAATTATTCAATATAACTTATTCAGTAACTACTATAAATTATTCTGTAACTACTATAAATTATTCAGTAACTACTATAAATTATTGAGTACAATTTACTGAGTAGCTATAATGAATTATGCTGTTGTTATATGAAGCTTGCGTACATGTTCTAGTTCTGAGAGTGAGGATTTGAAGTGTGGGCCCCCATATAGACCCTTACTGTACATTCACAGAAGTGTTCCTGTTAATTTAGTTATGCTGATGTAATTTTGTCCTTTATTATAGAAAAAGTCACAGTGCTGAGTTCATTCTGAGCACTGAGCCGGTGTTTCACTGTCAACACTGCGGATCCTAATGTGTACTGCAGCTTTAATGTGTACTGCAGCTACCTCTATAGGTCTCTCTCTCTCTCTCTCTCTCTATCTATCTCTCTCTCTCTCTCTCTCAGACTCACACATTCCTCAGTGTGTAGTAAATCCACTGTCAGATGTGTGGACAGTGTATATATGTAGGTCACGCTGCCCTCAGGACGAAGCGGCGCCTCAGTGCTGTTTAAATCAGAGAGATGCGGAGAAGCTAATCAGTAACTGCTCAGACATCAACTGATAAACAATAGTTGTGCAACTCTTTTGTGTTAAAAGAGCCACGCTGAGAAAATGTTGGCGTGGGGCCACTTAAAGTGACACAGCACAATTTCAGCTCAGTCTGAGTACCACAGCAGGGCTACTGTCCCTTTAAGAGACAGCACAGAGAGAGAGAGAGAGAGAGAGAGAGAGAGAGAGAGAGAGAGAGAGAGAGAGAGAAGTGATATTGTGACAGCAGTGGATCAAGATGTTTGCACGCACGCGGAACAAACTTTTGTTTTTTTCTTTCCACACGTTTTCCGACAGGCCCCGCCCTCCTGCGCTCTGATTGGACAGTAGCGCTATTGGAGGACAAACATGAGGGGCAGTAGCGGCCATAAGATCAAAGCAGCATCACAGACGAAGTGAGAGATTCACCAAGTCGGATTTATCATTAGCCAGATAACTAAAGCCAAATGCCCAATAGAAAGGAAGCTAAAGGACCACCTCACTGGCCACTTTATTAGAAACAACCACCTTGTGTTTAGACTAACTGGCCACTTTATTAGAAACAACCACCTTGAGTTTAGACTAACTGGCCACTTTAATAGAAACACCTATCTTGTACTTCCACTACTCACTGGCCACTTTATTGGAAACACCTTCATTGTGCTTCCACTCACTGGCCACTTTATTAGAAACACATACCTTGTGCTTCCACTCACTGGCCACTTTATTAGAAACACCTTCATTGTGCTTCCACTCACTGGCCACTTTATTAAAAACACCTTCATTGTGCTTCCACTCACTGGCCACTTTATTAGAAACACATACCTTGTGCTTCCACTCACTGACCAGTTTATTAGAAACACCTGTATAGCCTCCGCCCCATTCATCACTGCTCATATCTGCTGACCAGTGATGTTTCTGGGTGGTGGTCACCCGTCAGTACACAGCAGCCACACTGACCACTGTGTCAGGTAAAGCGGCGTCACCGCTCGTCAGCATGAAGCAGCAGCAGTGCAGGAAGAGGCGGAGCTCTGCCTGAATGCGGGTGTGTAATTAAATAGCGCCCCTCAATGAGCTGTTCAGTGTGTAACGCGGTCCGGGGCGGACAGAGAGGCAGATCCTGAGTTTGGGGCAGTTATTGGCCGCCGGTGAACTTCGGACACGCGCGCATACGCAATACGAGTAACGGAGTGGCGCGTGTGCACCGGAACCGTAGTCGACGAGGCTTCGCCAATCCCCGACGAGGCTGAGGATTAACGAGGAGCTCCACATCTCTCTCTCTCAGTCTCTCTCTGTCTCTCCCTCACTCTCTCTCAGTCTCTCTCTCTGTCTCTCGCCCTGCTCGCCGTGTCTCCAGCTGCACAGAGAGCGGAAGTCATGACGGAGAAGCGGATCTCGCGCTGGTATTTCGGCGGTCTGGCGTCATGCGGAGCCGCGTGCTGCACGCACCCGCTGGACCTCGTGAAGGTGAGGAATGGAGGAGGATGCTAGCACGAGACTGAAGTTGGCTTCTCCGTTCCACCTTAAAAGCCTGAGGCGCCAGAATGTAGCTGCTGCTGCATTTAAGGTGGAACGGACAATTAGAATAAGACGCCAGTTTAAGCCTTGCACGCACCACCTTTACGCCTCTGTACTTGCGACGTTATGTTACTGACTCGGTTCGTCATTAACCCACCAATCGGACTGCACGTCATCAAATAGCCTGAACTGAACTGAATTGAATTGAATTGTGCCGGCGGTGCTGCACGTGACGCTGGCTGCTTCCTGCTCATTGTATTGATGTGACTCTGCGGGTCAAACCGACTGGACTCCCTGGTCACTTTATCTGAAACACCTCCCGTTCAGCTCCACCTTGTACAATCAGAGACCACAGCTTGTCTGTTGATGCACAGTTTCTTAGTCATTCTCTAGTCCGTCATCAGTGGTCAGTTTCTGGGTGGTGGACCACTCTCAACCTAACAGCTGTGTAACTGCTGTGCTCAGAGAGGTCGGGGTCAGGTTGTGTGCACCAACAGATGTGCTACAATCTGTAGATAAATAAATATGTGGCTTAAATAATAAAGTGGCCAGTGAGTGGAAGTACAAGATGGGTGTTTCAAATAAAGTGGCCAATGAGTGGAAGTAAAGGGAGGTGTTTCCAATAAAGTGGCCAGTGAGTGGAAGCAGAAGGTAGTTGTTTCTAATAAAGTGGCCAGTGAGTGGAAGTAGAAGGTAGTTGTTTCCAATAAAATGGCCAGTGAGTGGAAGTAAAGGGAGATGTTTCCAATAAAGTGGCCAGTGAGTGGAAGTACAAGATGGGTGTTTCCAACAAAGTGTCCAGTGAGTGGAAGTACAAGACGAGCGTTTCTAATAAAGTGGCCAGTGAGTGGAAGTATAAGTGCATGATGAGCGCATTCAACAGGGAGTGAATAACCTATGGACTCTACTGCTACTCATGTCAGGGTGGTTTCACGATTGACTGGGCTTAAGTGGGCATGAGTGATCTTAATCAGCACGAGGCCTTGCAGGCTGTTCTATTAAATGTCTTTGGCGTTTCATACAAGGGCTACAAAATATGTTTTCTGTCCATAATTGTTGCAATATGAGCCTTTGCAGTTGTTCTATTGCCAGTGCTTGAAATATGATAGCCTATTTGTAGATTCTTATTGCAAGTAAACTTCTTTGATTAAAAATAGTTTGAAAACTTATTACTATTTCTAAAAGAAATCGAACTGATATCAGTATCAGATGATACTGTTGGTTTCAGTATCGTTATCAATACTGGAAAAGTAAAATTGGTAATGTGCCATAATCTCTAATACCATAATTTATACAATACACTGCCAAGGTAACTCCCACGTACACATTGTGTATGCATCTCTGGTCTATTTGTGACTGTGTTTGAGGCATGTGCCCTGTTATATACGCCTGGTATTTGTATGGGTATGTGTCTGTGTGCACGGCTGTGTAACTGTCATGTGCTGTTCAGGCCAATTTCATACCCAGGTGCTATGTAGGTGCACTCCAGTGGTCACCAGCACTGGTCCTGGAGATCTACCTCCCTGCAGAGTCTAATTCCAGCCACAGTTTTCCACACTTTAGCTGCAACCTAATTTGTAACACATAGGAATGAAGGAAAAATATGGACCGTTTGGGCAGCCGTGAAGACCTGGTTGGGAACTGTTGTTCTAGATAATGTTCTCAGTAATCTGTGATTGGCAAAGGCAGGAAAACTGAACTTAAGTTCTTCAGAAAAAAGCCCAATCACTTGAGTGTGGGTGTGTCCATTGCATAGGCTCCGCCCCACATGATATGTTTTTTCTGAGGGTTGATAAGCTGGAATAGACACAAAGTACAAGTAATGTAAAAAATACTATCAACAACTGAATACAAATTATCTTTATTAAGCATTCAATAGCTCAGATAACTATGTTGTGTTGAAATTTATCATGATAACGATGAATATCACCATAATGCCCACCCCTAGTTTCACGTCTTTAGGATAAGTTTATCTCCGGTCCGTTTACTGTGTGTTTAGCGTTTATTCTCTCTTTGCTAATGTGCTAAACCAGGTTACCTGGGAGCAGGGTGAAGGACACTCTAAGCTACTTTAGGACTTTGCTCGAGGATGGCAGTGTTCTGGCTTCGAGTCAAACACTAACTCAGGCTTGAGCCACTTCATTTGCTCATAGAGGACTTGTTAGCAAACCCATTGAGCTCTGAACCCCAGATCTGACCACACCTGAGGTAGTCATAGGTCTACTGTCCTTTAATTACCTGGCTCAGGTGTGCCGGGAGCTGGAAGAGTCGCCGAATGCAGACCAGCTCCCAGGCCCTGGAGACTTTAATGACATGTTATTGTAATGCCATTCAAACGAATTAAGCTCCTGTTGCTCTCAAGTGTCCCTGGAGTTTGTTTCTTTAGGTTTGCACTGGAATCGCAAAGCTAATATAGTTAAAAAGTTATGGGAGCTGATATCCCACCAATTAGAATCGTCTAAATCATCACTGTTACTCATTTTGCGGTTGAATGAAGGCAGATAGCTAGTGCAGCTGCCCAAAAGTGGAGAGAACGGATTACTGAAGCAGCAGAAATGATTCCAGAAAATCAGGAAAAAAGGCCACAAGCCTAAAACTAAAGTTAGCAAGATAGCTAACTGGCTAATCTAGCACAGGTGTCACAACATGCATGTAAATGTTCATTTTTTTCCAATGCAGGTTGATGAGATGATACTCTGCATTGATTTATTCCTTATATTCCTGAAAGTGATACATCAACACCTCCGCTGCACTGCTATTAGAACTGGGAATAAGGCTGGTTTGGTTGGCCTACCTTGGCTTTGAAATGGCAAGGTATCTCAGTCAATGGGCAAAGAGTGGCAGATCAAACAAATACATCAGATACATTTACTCAGTTTTGAAGATGTCACCCAAATCTGTCAGTGATCAGAACGAGAAGAACACACAAAGCTAAAGTTAGCCAGCTTCTTATTCAGATTTTCTGCTCCATTTAAGGTGGAATGGGGAATTTTATTAAGAAACTGGAAATAGGAAGCCAGTTTAAGCCTTGTGGAGAAAACACGAGTCTCAGCAGCTACTACTTCCCACATGTATACAAGCAGCTGATACATGCTGATTCTGAATGGGCAAAACAAGTAACTCGCTCTGTGGGAGTGTTAATGGGCTACCAGTTTGCACCTCTCTTTGGTTGTACAGTCCAAGGTCAGTTAGTTTAATATCGAGATGAAGCCTTATAGTTTACATTTTTATGTTTACATTTATGTACATATTGCACTTTTGCTAATATTTTTAAATTTATTTTACGTCTCCTAAGAAACTGACTGCCAGTTATGTCTCCAGTTCCCTTTTGGGAATTGTCCAAAAATAATAAATGTTGACGTTATGTTACCATTTCATTTCAAAACAGACAATACTTATCATATCATGAAATTTGTGTATCGGTACGTCCCTCTAGATGCCTCAGTTTGGTTCCCTTTCTCTGGCTGAAAGGGTAGAAATGTATCTCTGGTGTCCATTTTGGGCTGAACAAATATATAATTGCTGTTTTTTTACACAATTTGTTACACTAACGCTAAGCTTGGTTGTGTTTGTTAGCCTGTAGAAGTGGCTACGCTAGCAGCTGGGACTGCTTGTGTACTGTGTAACACTTATAAAGCTAAGGCATACAGTGCTACACTACAGAATGCTAAATAACATGGCAAATAACATGCTAAACTGTAGTGTTAGGCTGGAGTAGACATGTCAAATAGACTAGCACACTGTTACTTATAAACCTGAACAAAAACTCATTAGCATGGACAGTAAAAGCTGTTTTTCTGTCCTGTCCATCTTTATAGAAAACAGTATGTCACACAGTGTGAGGAACCACATAGGTAAGTTTATTAGGGATTACTGAACAACTCCACACCAACTGAGGTGAATGTGTGACGATTTAGTCATGCAGTTAGCATGATGCTAAATGGGGTTCACAAGTTTCCATTATCTGTTAGCTAAATTAGCCTCATAGCTCCATAGACACCAACCACATCTTAACAGTTTATCTACATTCGAAAATAGATACATTTAATGTTTGTACATTAGAAAATGTTTGTACAAATCCACTGTATGGTAATTCTTCCTGAAATTCACTGCAAAGTAAATCCATCATGTGGTCATTTCTTCAGGAGGTATAACAGTGTTTTTTTTAGGAGCAGTAATGAGGGTCTTGTAGTTTTTTGTAAATGTGGTCTAAATTACATGGCTTGTATGAGTCCTAGTCTTAACATAGGCCTCAGCCTCCCACCCACACACTGTAATTAGAGCGTTTTAGGGCCTGTGGAGAACACTGCTGATTTCTACTGCTGTTAAAGTTATTTAAAGGTCAGAGGGTCAACACATGCATGCGAAAGTGTGTTTGTGTGTTGACATGGTTGAAAGTCAGTGTCACACACACACACACAGTGCGAGTGTCCAAGGTCTGTTTAGGAATGTGTGTGAGGCAAGTGCCCCATTATATAGGCCTGGTATTTGTATGTGTACGTGGCTGTGTGCATGGCTGTACATGCCTGTGCACATGACCTTGAATTAGAGGATGACTTTGGATGAGGCATCCCATCTGATTTACTCTCCTGATCAAATGATCTGGCCAGATCTTAATGGAACATGTTTACTGAATTCCTCCAGCCTGGCTAATTCAGAATTTTCAACTGTTAATATGTGATAAGTTGTTCAAGTAAAAGTTGTTAATGAGATGTGATCATGTTGAGGTTGTGGCTAGAGCAAAACGTGACTGTACTTTTTTTTTAGGTAAAAATCTGGTGCACACCAGATGCTATCAGGTATTTTTTATTTTTTTTTACCTAAAGAAAAGAAAAACACACACAACATCTCTTTTACCTAAAGATACAAACAAAAAACATCAGATTTATCCACTCGGGAAAGGGGTCTGAAGCACAACCCACATTACAAAATTACAAAATGTTGTGTGC